CCAGACTGGTTCAGGCCGTGCCCAACCCCTCTGAACCCAACCAAGAGAAACATGAATGAGGCTATAAATCACCTCTTGGAAATAAAAGTTGTGGAACCAGTCCCAGCCAAACAGACCAACCTCTCCTCCCTCAGGGCGGAACACATCTCGGGAGAGACAAACAAGCAGGCAGACGCCTTGAGCAGAGCAATGGCGAACCACTCCGAGTAGCGCCTGCATCCAGAAATATTCACAGAGGTAGTGGAAAGTTTCGGCCACCTGACACTGGATCTGTTCGCATCTCCGGCAAATTCACAACTCCCGAGGTTCTTCTTCCATTTTCCATCTCCGGGGGCAGAGAGAGTGGACGCCCTACGCAGCCCATGGCCAAGGGATCTACTTTACGCATTTCCTCGCTCCCTCTAATGCCAGCAGTCATATGCAAACTGTTACAGGAGAAAGCAGAGATCATACTAATTGCTCCGCACTGGCCGAGGCGTCCGTGGTTTGCCAACCTCATGAGTCTTTCCATCTCAACTCCGTGGAGGATCCCTTCAGATCGCATTGCGCTCAGTCAGGGCGCGCTTCAACATCCAGACTCACAATGGCTCCAGCTAACCGCCTGGCATTTGAGCAGCAACGTCTGACTCAGGAGTCCTACCCAACGAGGGTGATCAACATGATCCAGGCTTTGAGACGCCTGTCTACCAACAGAATTTATGACTCCACTTGGAAGAACTTTTCCAACTGGTGTACCAGGAATCAAATTGATATTTCATCCATCACTATCCCTAGAATTTTAGAATATTTGCTGGATGGACTTGACAAAGGCCTATCACCAAATACCATCAAAAGGCAAGTAGCAGCCCTGGCTACAGTGCTATCATGTGACGGTTCTTCTTCTCTGGCCCATCACCTGATGATCAGCAGCTTCATCAAGGGAGCGGTCAACCCAAAACCACCCATGGTCCATAGATACCCCTCGTGGGATCTTTCTTGTATATTGCAAGCTCTTACCGCGACACCATTCGAGCCCCTTAAGACTTGTGATTTGAGACTCTTGTCCATGAAGGTTGCTTTTCTTGTGGAAGTGACTTCAGCCAGGCGCATTTCCGAACTGGTAGCACTCTCTGTCAAGGAGGATCTATGCGTCTTTCGTAAGGATTGTGTGATTCTTAGATTGGACCCATCATTCATTCCTAAGGTAAACACCTTATTCCATAGATCATAAGAACTTATACTACTAAGCTTTTGCTCTCAACCGTCTTACAACCTGGAGCACCAGTGGCACACCTTGGATGTGCGCAGGGCGTTAAGACAGTACATCAAGTGGACTTCTGTCTTCCGCAAATCAGAAGCGCTTTTCATTTCCTTCCAGCCCTCTTCCATGGGGCAGAAGGTCTCGTCATCCACCATTGGCAGGTGGATCAAGGCCTGTATCGCCAAGGGTTATCAATCCTAATCCTTATCCATCCCTAACCATATCATTACTCATTCCACCCACAGCGCAGCAACTTCAGTGGCTTGGGCGACTCAAGCGCCCATTGACGAGATTTGTTGAGCGGTGACTTAGTTGTCACCCTCCCCGTTTATAAGGCATTACAAAATTGATAAATTTGCCTCCGCACACACCTCCTTTGGCCGGAGAGTGTTACAACGAGTGGTATTGTCCGGAGGGACACATGCCCTGACTGTTTCCCCCCCATAGGGACAGAGCAGGCTTTGGTATGTCCCATCTGTGGATTATCCATCCTCATGCTGGAGAAGGGGCGCTGTCTTACCTGAACGCCTTTTCTCAGCATGATGATGGATAATCCACTCCCGCCCCTTTAGTGGCCGTCAGGTCCTGTGTAAAGGGTAGGGGAATCAACGCGTCGGACTTCGTCTGTTGCTTCGCCTTTCGTCGGAACTGAGTCAGCATAGACCACGGGAGGCGTGGCAAACTCTCAGACTTAGTCTATTGGGTAGAAAGGACAACAGGAAACCCATCTGTGGATTATCCATCATCATGCTGAGAAAAGGCGTTCAGGTAAGACAACGCCCCTTCTACTCTCTTCAATTTTTTTTGCATGCCAACACTAGATTTTCACAGGTAATCTTGCATTCATGAAGCTTGACACTCTCATTTGTCTTTCAACCAAGTGGAAACAAGTCTTGGAATCATAGTAATGTACTCTAGACTTGCATAGTGTCCCAGCTGTGTAGATCATGTCAAATACTAATTAGCCATTAATCTACTTACCAAACAGTTAAATGCAGCCAGATTTTCTGAACCAGCAAATCGAAAACCCAGAGACAAACAGGCCCCAGCAATGATATAGACATGAGCCTGCCTAGAAAGAAACATTTAATATAAAAGTTTTTGAAATATTATGAAAAATCAATCATAGCATAGCTGGCTGAGGAATTCTAGGAGCTGAAGTCCACAAGTCTTAAAGTTGTCAAGGTTACAGACCCCTGGTATAGGAAAAGGAGTGACAAGCCTGAGGGTGGAATCGAGAGAATCAGCCTAGAGTCTCCATGTTGCCACAAGCAGACTATGTCCCTCTTGAATCCGTTAACTCTTATCTAATACCAAAATAATGCTAACTATTAGTCGACTAGATTCCTGAGCATAGACATGAAAAATAAATTAGTTTAACTGGAACTTAATGGGTGGCCCTGGTTTTTCATGCCATTTCATACAGTCAGAATATACTGAGGGTGATTATGAATGGAATTTTAAACTTAATGTAATTGGGGAGACTCCTATGGGTTATGCATTGATAGTTGATATAGTTAATATCAATGGATGGGAAAGGCCCTAATGTAGAGTAAAAATACTTACTCCATGTATTATTATTATTCTCCTTGAGAAATTCAAGAAACAAAAATATCTGTATATAATCATCTCCAAGGGTACTTCCTCATATTGTATTTGCAGTATAATAAGTGCTATACTCCATTTAATCTAGTTAATCACTAGTCTGATTTCAAAAATAGTTTATGTATTCAAGTTTCACAGTCACTTTGTAGCAGTTTTTACACAGAAATGAATGTGTATAGAGCCATAGTGGCACAGTGGTTAGAATGGAGTACTTCAGGCTGACTCTGCCAACTGTCAGGAGTTCAATCCTGCCCAGCTCAAGGTTGGCTCAGCCTTCCATCCTTCTGAGGTCAGTAAAATGAGGAGCCAGATTGTTGGGGGAATTAGGCTGACTCTGTAAACTGTTTAGAGAGTACTGTGAAGTACTATGAAGTGGTATATAAATCTAAGTGCTATTGCTGTTGCTATAAACCTGAAAGTTATTCTTTATTTCACCTGCTTAATGATTCTGCAAGACAGAACATAATTACTTACGCCAAAGTCTCCAAATTAAGATCTTCTGATGAGGGCATCTCAGTTGCATGGAGCGAGACACTGTTCTCTCTAACAATCTATGGAAATGTAGTAACTGCAATTGGTGACTCTCAATTTTATAAAAGGCATCCTGTCTTAAATTAATCTTTTATTAAAAAGGACACAATCAACCAGCCTTCTGTGGCTGATGGAGATGGTACAAATTGCAATACAATATATTGGGAAATTACCAGACTGTCAAGGGCAAAGGTGGAAGCAATTTTAACATATTCTCTTCCCTGTCTTACCACAGAACATCCTCTGCAAGAAAGGATCTCTGGAGGAAGAGAAATTAATAAAAATTACATTCTCCCATTGCTACCACCTAGAACTCTGTTCAGGGAGGGTTCTGGTTAATGCAAGCAACGTAGTCTGGAACGTGTTGTTTCCAACTAAATTATTAAGACACAGAAAAAAAGATGGGCAGATTTCTCAGATTTCCAGAAGGTTGACTTTTGAAATCACCACTCACATTTTCTTCAATTTATGAATTGTTTATCAAATGAGAATAAAGTGAGATTCTCAGCATCTTGCAAGTCTACATTATACAGCCACAATCACAGTAAGATCTTATGTACTGCTTAACTGACTCCATATAAGAAAAGTGACTTTCAGTCTATGCTGAAAGAAATTCTGAAGTTTCTTGGGAGATTAATAGAGATTGTACAATTGTTGCCCAAATAATGTTGTCCACTTGCTAGCTTTATATCCAGTCATTTGTTCAGTAGCTCAAGGCAGCATATAAAGCTCTCCATCTTCTCATTTTATTCACAAAAACCTTCTTGGGTAGATTTGGCCAGGAGAGATTGACCTAAAGTGCCCCCCTCACTGTCCCTGGTTGAGGATGGACCTGAAGTTGGATCTCCCAAGTTGGATCTCCCAAATGCCCATCAAACATTTTAATCATTTCACCATACTGTTACTCAAACATTTTGCAATGCACAGCCATATGGACTGTTCTAAAATGCACTTTAGTATATGTATATACTCAACTAAGACCTAAAGAAACTAAAAAGCTTTTCACACAAACTCACGAAGTGTCATGGAGTATTCCTTTCCTCCTATTCCTTTGTAGTGCCATATGCTAAACAAATAAATTCATTTGTAGTAGGTTGAGATTTAGAAGCAGATATTCAAGATCTGAACAAAGCATTCTTGAAAGGCAGAAAATCCAGATACCACAAATTATATATAACAAGCATACTGAAAGCAGCAACTTACTTGTGGCACATTGCTATCAATCCACTTTGAACTGGGCATTATATCATCCCACAAAATCAAGCATCGAGCAAGTGTCTTCAGGCAAGAAAAATGACAATCAAAAGAGGGTTAAAAATTAAGTTATGATAAGGAGGTCAGATACTACAGTAATTTAAGAAATCAGAAAAAATTTAAATCTATTAGAATGATATATACAGTCCACCAATCCTTGAGCTCTCAGAGCAAATACAGATGTTACATTATGCAATGCCCCCATGTACAGAGTGTTACGTTATTTTCAGACTCATATACATACCCCTTGGAACAGAGAGAAATATCTCTAATTTTGCACAGAGTAATCATATTTGCTGTTTTCAGTTACAATGACCACCAGGAGACAAGCATTATATGACCAGTTTCTATCCTATTTGGGACTTTTCAGACATAAGAAGCCAGATGTTATTCTTTGGACTTCAACTCTCTACTGGAAACTGAACCCATGAATCCCAAGTAGAATAAAACGAGTGGCATGATATCTATCTCCCAGTGGTCAATGTAAGTGAAGAAATCAAAATGGAATCAATTCATTGAAAAGTGATGGAATACCCATTTTATATTTATAAATGAAAAATGCCCTGTATCTGTATAACTGTACCTTATATTATACCTGTATAACTGTAATTAAAAGGCATATAATTTTATGAAATATACCTCACTTCACAAAAGTTTATGACATGTAATGTTAGTTTGAAAAGATACCAGACTTCTGAATTTCATGGATTGATTGTTGTTAATTAGCAAATATGTTTTTTAGACAAAAATACAAGACACATCTGCCTCGATTTAATCCTGATTTCTGTGCTTCTTTTCTCACTGTGGGAAAATATCAAACTGCTTTGAGTTAACTAGATATATTTGAAAGCACATAACTAAGTTAAATTGCCCACATCATTGTGGTGATTTTTCTTAAATGTGTATGGTTAAAAAGGTTTTAAATACATTCCTATCATTGCCAGCATAAAATTTTAAAACAGGCAATGAACACTTCTTAAGTTTAATTCAAGAATATCTCAAATTTGAGCATAAACCTCACAGAAAGAACAATGGGGGGGGGGGGAGAATGTGCCAGTCACAGAACTTTCTAATGGTGTTTGTAACGACATAGATGGAACCATCATAATTTTGCCAAGCAGATTAGATCATAGAAATATATTTTGTATTTTGGAATAAAATATACGTGATGCTTTATTTTTCAGACAACAGCTTTATTTGATACAACTAAGCCATGCGATTCTGATTTAAATTTATGTTGCTGAAAAACTTAAAAAGATGATTTCTTAAATGGTATGAACTGTACTGAGTGAGTCACATAAATATGATTATATAGTAAGATATCACAGAAATGTGGTGTTTTTCTGCTATTATCTCTGCTAACCACATGTGATATGGCAAGTCTTGCATGCAAAATGCAAAATGAGCTTAACTGGGGCAGGATGGAACTCTATGTGCTCAGTAGATAAGCAATAAAGTGATTGAACTACCTGGCAAGATAATCTGTAGCACATTTAAACAGATTAATATAACAGTGCACGCTATCAGTTTATTTTGAGCTGCTTCCTTTCCTAATAGAATAAAGGCAAAATAAAAACATACCCTCAATAAAAGGAATTCTGGTTTTACAAAGTCCAACAAATACATTGTGTCTGGAGCACAAAGCCAATCAGCAATCGATCTACAAATACAACATAAAAGCAGAATTGTAAATTAAAATGGCTTGCCTAATGAAGCATGGGAAACTACTTCAATGCATCTTAAATGGCTGAGTTTGCTATTGCTATACAGTATATATTTTTCTTTAATCTCCCAGATCCACTGCCCAGCTACTACAGTCCTTATACATTAAGAAGGATATAATGGGGTCAGTACCTCTTGCTCAGTTTGAATTGCAAGTATTTCTTATATTTACTGAATACCAAAGCCTCTAACATATCCCAGAGAGAACATTCTGAAGGTGGAACTACCCTTAAGCATTAAGCATTCATACCTTAAATTACCACTTTAATGAAAACAGTAACAGTGGTTCAAACTGCTATTTTGATACTAGTATATAATAAACAGTGCAAATGCTGTATAAAGGAAGGTTTTAGGCAAATTCTGTACTGCACTCTTTCACCATCTACAGCACAGGTGTCAAATTTGACGTATCGCAACATTTTTTGCCTTTGTGGAGCTGGGGTGGGCATGGCCTGCGTGTGACGAATCCGGACCGCAGGCTGCCTGTTTGACACTCCTGATCTACAGCTTCCACCCAATTCCAGGAAAAAAGATTGCTACTTTAAAAAGTTCCAGACAGGTGCTTGAGCAATAGCATGCTCTGAAGCAGAGCTGTGAAAATGAATCTACCAATGCAGTTACCATTCATATTTAAAGCTAACTAGGGTAGGAGCAGATAGTCTGCAAAAACATGATTGTTTTTCTCCTAAGACACAAACATTTGTACTATTGTAGCTTACTGTGGTCTAAACAAGAGACTAGATTGATCCTCTGAGTGTGCCTTATATTGTATTTAACCAGATCTCCTAGCTCATACCTGTTGTTGGTCTTGAGATAGATCATGGCTAATGCCAAAGTTGCACCTGGGCAAGTTACATCCACATTTATAGTATCTCCTTCCTGTTAATAAAACATACATTCAGTTTAAATACTATAGTGATGAATACTGCAGACATCTATGGATGAGAGATACTTTCATTTAGTTTGCTATGAACTAATTTACACTTCCTTGTTCAATATGGGAACCAGATTCTTTACTTTTCCTTTTTTTTGTAATATTTTATTGATTTTCTAATTTTACATTTAAGTGTTTAAAAAGTAACGTGGGTAATCGATAATGCAATAACATACAAAAATGTTTAGTACAAATCTCAAGCTACCACATCAAATATTTCCTCTCTTTTTCGCTTAATATCTATGGTCTCATATTTGAACTAATACAGTTCTTATTATAACAATTAAGTAATAAATTTTTAGCTTATACATATCCTAGTTTCTTTAACATTCAATCTTTATAGACAATCAATGTCCTGTTGTTAGTTTTTCCCAATTTTTAGTTTCCCCTCAATATTTAAATTTAACATTTGATATTTATAATTTCCAAGTTTTAGGTAACCAAAGTTTTCTTTATCACAATTCATAACAAAGTCTAATATTCAAGATACACATCTGATCTATTTGAGTATATTCTATTTCCCACCATCTTACATCATCTAGTTAATAATACAGTATAACATCCTTATTCTCAACTAATTTCCAAATGTCTTAAATTTAATGACCAAAATTTCCCTTATTTCAACATCAAATATTTTCTCTCTTTTTGCCTTAATATCTACTTCTCATATTTAAGCTAACACAGTTCTTATTATATCAACTAAGTAAAAACATGTTTATTACATTTATCAATAAATTTTTAGCTTATACATATCTTAATTACTTTTACATTCAATTTTTATAGACAATCAATATCCTATTTATTTGTTTTCCCCAATTTTTAATTTCCCATCAATATTCAAATTTAACTTTTAATATTTATACTTCCAAGTTTTAACTGACCAAAATTTTCTTTATCTCAATTCATAACAAAATCTAGTACTCAAAATACGTATCTTGTCTATTTGAGTATATTGTATTTAAATTAGTAATATAAAATCCTCTCTAATAAATCAAAACCCCAATTTTCTTTAGCCTTATTCTGGCTTTCTTCCTTTGCCAGCTCGCCTTCCATGTCAGTGCTTTTAAGTCATCAAATAGATCTCCCCCTGTTGTTATATATATTATTTGAAACAAAAGAGACCATCCAGTCACCATTTTTTTGGAAGGGCTAGCAAATCGTCTCTCTATTATTCCAGATCCCCATAGTTGTCCTGATATGTTTGTCTTCCCTTCGGTCTGTTCTTCTTCTTACTCCTCAAGTTTCTTCTGGTTTATATAGAAAGTCTTTTCCATTTTCAGTGTTGTCAGCCCCTTTTCTGGATTTTCCATTGACTATATTTGTTGGTCAGTTGAATCCTCTATCATAGTATTTAATTGTTCCACTTCTTCTGTTATCTTCTGCATAGTTGATTCTTTAGTTGTAGTCAAAATTTAGGTTCGTATATCTAGGCTGACATCTTGTTCTTTACTGTAGCATCTTATTTCATCACAAGCTGAAAGAATGGTTTCATATATTGCTTTCAACATAAAGAGAATCTGTTCCTGGTCTTTATCCATATTCTTTTAATGGTGTGTTAAATTCAGAGCTTTAAAGTCAGAGAATGAAAATAATTTTATAACTGAGTATAGAACACAATTGAGCTTCTCACAGCTGATATTTGTCAAAGCTGAAAAAGTCTTATCTGTAGTCTGGGCTTCCAACCAAGTCTCCTTGTAATATCAAACTTAACCACAAGATGTCACCAATGCCATTTAAGGTTGTTTAAGTCCAAAATTTTTTATAACCCTTTTCCAATTTTTTTTCTTTTTTGTAAATAAAAAACAAAGTCTTCAGTAAAGATAAGAAATCTTTTGGTCCCCAAATTTTAGAAGCATATAAATCCAGTTAGATTAAGGTTATTCTTTCAGTGTTTTAACTTTCCTGGATAGTCAGTTGCCACTATTCTTAGAGGTTGGGATAGAAGTTCCCTTCTCTCTCTCCTTACAGGGAAGAAGATACTTTGGACAGCTTTTACAGGAAAAGAAAATACTTAGGATTGAAGAGAGGTTCAGATCTCACCCAGTCTCATCTGCACTGCTTTAGAAGTGCCTGGTGGTAAGTTTGACTTCAGCTGTCTACAGCCTAGTGACGAGCCATATTTCTATGGCTGGTCTTTCCTCCGCCGGTTTGGAGGGTTGCCCCGGATCGAGCAAAAGGGTTACCGCCCTTCCACAATCGAGTGGGGGTCTCCTCCTTGCTTGTCGCCCCTACAGGGCGACTCTCGACCCTTTCAAGGGTCCCCCAGTGGAGCGAAACTGAACACAGAAAACGGAGCTTGCCTTCCAGCGGCCGCGGCGGCTGCAATGGCAAAGTGGAAGTCCAGATTCTTTACTTTTCCATGAAGTCTATGAAGCAGTTCTCAAGTCGAAACTATATATTGTAATTAGAAAGGTGTTTGCAAAAAATGCGTGTGATGAAATACTGCATTGAAAATTAAACTTGCAACATGTTTATACGATTACAGTAACAGACTCATGCAATTTTATATGTGTCTCCCCACTCTATGCTTTTATCCTAAACAGAACTAGGGAAAAAGTGACACTTTCTCAAACTTTACTCCTGCTTTGGACTCATATTTCTCTTATCTGGTCATTGCTGTGTTTGCAGTTCTTCCTTTTCCTTGAGATTATTCTCACAGCCAATTATAGGTAGAATGTAACAAGGCTTAAAAGGCATGGAAGATACCTGAGGAAGTTCAATATTAAATAAAACACATCTCAGCTTCACAAGTGGTTATGTGGATAGCATGTGCAAATAAATAAAAGCTCTAGCTAACACAAAAGGTGAATGGGACAAACAGCAGAAGTGCACAAAAAAAGTCCAGGCGATGTAGATATTACTGAGGTAAATAGACTGATTGTCTGTAAAGTACAATATTGGAAAACTAAAAACATTACCTTAATTTGATAACTTGGAGATTTGTGTTTCTCACGGTGCATTCCAGCTTGAAAACGCCGATGGCCACCAACCATATATTGATAGAGCTGCTCAGGCACATTCAGGTCTGACATGCCTATCAAATTGCTGCCATGCTAAGGAAAAAAATCAACAAAGTTATTTACTTTCTGTATGCGAAGAAAATGTGACCCAATTCAATTCATATATTTGCAGAGAAACTGAAATATGCAACTTGTTCAGCAAATTGACCTTTGCAGGTTTCTGAAGGAAATTACTGCAACAATTTGGCATGACACAAAAATTGAGAGGAAAAAAAGCACACTTACCCCAAGACAAACCATGCCCAAAGCTAAGCCAGCTGCCAGTGAATAGGACTCTCTATCAGTGCAATATTCCATTTCAGGACCTGGGGGACGCCCTGAATAAGTATATGCATAAATCCAACTATTAACCAACTTTTAAAATGAGGAAGCTAACTTTCTATTTTTATTCAATATATCTGAACTATTTTTACCATTAAAAAACTTAGACAAAACTTCACATGTTCAGTCCATTTTTCACATTTCAACTCATTTTATAAGATAACTGAAACTATCCAACGTCTCTTTCAAAATCCTGGTAAAATGGGAAACCGTGTATTTTTTATGCAAAGTACTTAAGAACAAGAAACAGTGATTACAAATAAATTAAGAACAAGTACGGAAAAGTACTAAGCACTAGTGAAGAGGGAAGAAAATAGTGGAAATGGAGGAAGCAGCTAGGATGGAGCAAGGGACTTACATTTGGTAGGTAGCAGAAGGTGTGCTTTTGCTGCCATGGCACCCAACTTTTGGAACATCTCCCCCCCCCTCGTGAAATTAAGTTATCTCCATTCCTTTTGATATTCCAGAAGCTCCTCAAGAGCTGATTATTTCAGCAGGCCTTGGGGTCCCAGACAGTCTGCGATACATTTGGCTCCACTAAAGAGGTGGATAATATATTCATTCTTTCACTGCCTGAGGTTTGTATACTTTTAATTAACGTCTATTTTTAAGGTTGACTTTTTATACTTTTCAGGCTTGTTTTTATGTATGTTTTTTATTAGATCATTGCACAGCATTCAGAGTACTTCTCATGGGATGGGCATCTACATATATTTGATTGATAAATAAGTTAAGCATTCACCTCAGCCACTTTAATAGTTTCCCTTGTCTTAGTGTGATACATTTTGTCAAACAACAGCACATAAATAATCCAAATCATGGTTGCTTTGTGTAGACTACAGATATAATCCCAACCAGCTTCCTCCTTACCTATTTCTGACAAGAGAACTTCAGCAGTGTGCCTATGAGCCGTCCCTTGGTACACCAAGCCTATTCCTATCACAGCCGCCACTTGCACATTATGAGGAACATCCAGTTCAGTGGAAGTCGGAGGCAAAAGAGCCGGTATGTGGATACTAAGCAGCCGGGTGATAGACATATCCATTGTGCCCAACTTGGCAGCAGAAACGCCTAGCAATAACCCAATGCTCATCATCTCATGACCCTGCCATTAGGGGAAAAACATCTTGATTAGAGGCATGAATGAATCCAAGGCAATACAGGCAGTCCTCGTTTAGCCTCTGCATTGTTTTACTGATCATTCACAGTTACGCTGGTGAAATAAAAGTAACTTTACAAGCAAGTATTGCATTTATAATCTTTGCAAGTCAGTAAAGCAAAGCTGAAGTAAGATCATATAAGGATATAGTCATGGGTTTACTCAGTGACTGTTTTGCTTAACAACTAACTTCCCAGTCCCAATTGCGGTTGCTAAATAAGGTCTGCTTGCACACAAAAGCACACATACTTTAGAGCAGGGGTAGGCAACCTTGGCTCTTTTATGACTCGTGGACTTCAACTCCCAGAATTCCTGAGCCAACTGGCCAGCTGGCTCAGAAATTCTGGGAGTTGAAGTCCACGAGTCATAAAAGAGCCAAGGTTGCCTACCCTTGCTTTAGAGTATCATATGCTCAAAATTAAAACTCACTGCAAAATGATTGTTACTGACTTTTACATTTTATATTTTACTTTGGGAGCAACAGGGACTCTCTGTCTCATAGGAAACATGTCCATGTAAGGTGAAACATTCTCTAACTTTCCATTTAAATAATTGTAGTTCTTTTTGCTGGAGAAATTTCTGATGGGGAAAAACCACAATGGAAAGGAAGAGAGCCACAAAAATCAGACACCATATCTTGTTTGAAGAGAAGTACTTTTATCAGCCACCAAATGAAACAATCAAAGAGCTTATTTTAGCAGTTAGTGACGTGGTTCTTAAACTGCACTGCAATTTATATTAATAATTATATATTAATAGTAGTTCACTATGACATCCGAACAGCAGTCATAAATATAAAAACTGCTGTCAAAATTGGAGAACAGAAGATTTTGTAAAAATTCATAAAAGGGTTAATATTCAGTATATTTCTAAAGTTTGCATTAGGAACCATCAATATGAGACTATCAATACAAGAAAACTGCCTACAGAACAGATTCTGCATTACAACTAATAATGTAATTAAAACTGTACAACTAATACAAGTTCAGTGCCAATCACTACAGTGAATTAAATGGTTAGGAAATTCACTGTTCAACTAATCAGTGGCACTGTTTGGCTTTTAGTGCGATAATCCTATCTATCTCAATATAAAGAAAGTAACATATATTGGCCCAAAGAAAACATTGTCTACCTCTTACTTTTGAATTATGGCCTCACCTTTGTTAAGTAGTCATGGATATTGAGTGTTGCAAGCTTTGTGAGATGGCCATTCAAACCCAGAGCCATGAGAAAGCCCGCATATTCATTGGCAAGTTCAGCGTTTTTGGGTTTGTTGTAGACAATCCATGCAGAGTCTATTTGGGAAGCTGGAGCTATCTTCAACCCAGCAGCCACACCATTGTGAAAGTTTGCCCAGCAAGCCATATTAGGAGGCACATCAATGTTCCCACTGTTGAGATCCACTGTGGTATTCCTAGGGGGAGCCCGGCCTATATAGGATAAAATTTAAAAATAAATAAATAAATGAAGTGTAAAACAACGAGAAAGACAAATTTTGTTATTCTCTTTTTTTTTAGTGTATTAGGCTTTCAAAACACTGATAGCAGCACTTTACAAATTACTTTGAGCAATTCTGTTGAGCCCAAGGGGCTTCGGTGCTTCAAAACATGCACCACAAAACAAAGAAAATAATCCAAAGATTATTTAATACAAAGGGAAAATAAAAAGGGAAATCACTTGGGACCGTTTGAAAAAGGAGTATTACAAGTGGAAGATAGGAGATTGAAGGAATTATTCAGAGAATTAATCTGACTAATAGAACAAGTTTGGATACAGTTTCTTCTCCCCATCCTACACATGTACAGTTCAGGAAGAGGCAGCCATAATGAGTACATCCTCCATGCATCACAAGATACAGTGTGGATATACATGAGTGTACCTCCTAATTCTATAGCATATGAAACACATTTCAGGTTCCAAAAGCAAGTAAACTGTACATAAACAAAATTGTTTTAGCAATTGATGTGGAGATTGCTGTAGCTGTCTTGGCTGGCTCTCCCTCACAGTGCATTCATCAGTTTAACATCTAAAGATCCTGGTTTCTAAATGTCCCTTTCCACAAATGTACTGAAGGCCTGGGATGGACAAATGTGCCATAGCCAGTGGCTGCACTTAACATGGGGCTGGAGGTGGAGGCAGGCTGGCTCTGCAAAGAAGGTAAAGCTGAAATTTCGGATGTTCTTTAATAGGAAAATGCCTATTTTAGGGATCACACTACAATTTATCATCATTCCCCAGCTAGCATGGTAAAATACCATTGAAAGTATGATAAAAACCCCATTTTAGCATAAATAATTTCACATCTTAACCCAAGTATGCATCAAAGTATGCATCACTCTGTTGAATATACCTGTCAGGTTCAATTTGGGAATAGGCAACGGCTCTGTTGGAACTGGGTGATAAGAAAACAAAGTAAACATCCCCCTTCCCAAAGGGAGAGCCATAGTTCTTTGACACAATTGCAGGAGCCTGTAACAGAAAAGAGGATGTAAGCAACAATATTTAAAACAAATGGAAACTTTTTTAATGGCAAACTGTGATATTAATAAATATGGGGCAGGGGTGGAGTTGTGTTTTTAAGATAGTGTTGACTCTTAGCAACTGCTTTAACAAATCACTGCAGTTTTTGTGGAAAGGCATTTCAGAAGTAGTTAGTCATCGCCTGCTTCCTAGAAAGAGTAACTGGCCCAAGGTCACCGTTTCTATCATGGTAACCTAATCGTTACACCCAACTGGCTCTTAATAAATACGTTACACAACTTATATATGGACCAAAGTTCTTCCTTTTAAAATGTATATTTTGTAAGCTGCTTTGGGCAAGTTGTTTTATGAATGGGAAAAGCAGCATACATATTTCTTTAAAAATTCAATAAATATGAACGAATAAAAAGTACAGTACAGTACAACTGTAAAACAAGCAAGAAAAATGTTTAACAGTCTAATAGGCTGCTTTACAATTGCATCAGTCACTTAAGAGAAAGACT